AAACAATGGCATTGTTTAATATAATTAATCGTTCGGTCCTATAGGTGACTGCAGTAGAATATTATGATAATCAGAATCCTATACAATATGAATTTGATACAAACACCAACCTGAAAACAATGGCATTGTTTAATATAATTAATCGTTCGGTCCTATAGGTGACTGCAGTAGAATATTATGATAATCAGAATCCTATACAATATGAATTTGATACAAACACCAACATGGTAACAATGGCATTGTTTAATCTAATTAACCATTGTGTCTTATAGGTGACTGCAGTAGAATATGACAATCAGAATCCCATACAATATGAATTTGATACAAACACCAACATGGTAACAATGGCATTGTTTAATATAATTAACCATTGTGTCTTATAGGTGACTGCAGTAGAATATGACAATCAGAATCCCATACAATATGAATTTGATCCAAACACCAACCCGGAAGCCATGGCATTGTTTACTATAAACATTGATAATGTAAGCTTTTATTGTATTATAATTAGTATGAATGGTTGTTGTCTGTCTGTGCATCTGTTTGTCTGAGTTTGTCATGACATTGTCTCAGACTTGCTTTGTCTTTGAGTATTTTATGTGTTTGTTGATCAGACTCATAGATAGACCCAAGTTCAAATCATTTCATTCCTGAAATTAAGACACTGAAAAATTATAGACCCCTTTTCCTGGATGAATACAACTTTTGGGGGGACCCTAGAATATGGTCTGGGGCTTGTATTCGACCTGACCTCGTTCTGTGGCAAAATGATTATATAGCATATGTACTTGACAGCACTTGCAATTTGCATAATAGAGTGACATTCAAAGTTAAGAGTTGTCGTCTGATACAAACGTTTTGCTAGTTTTACCGGTAGTCGTCGTTTGGACAAAGTACGAAACAGGGACGTATGGATTGGCCATATCACAGTCAATGTATATCTCACATCTGTCAGTATAATACAAACGGGGAATATGTCATTGATAATGAATTGTTCAAAATGGTACAATTCATCTAATTTCATCCTGAGATATGAAGAATAACCACTTGCAGGGCTTGTACCAATTTCAAGGCCAATATTTCTAAAAATGCTTTGGACTGATTGAAAATGTGCAAGTCATATTTAACTCTTATGAAGGGCATAAACATTCCATGATCTGAGTTTTAAGCTCTGTACTAAGAGGCTCCTGCGAAATAAGCTTTCATTTAACCTTTCCCCATGTCCCATTAATGCAATCTTTGATCATATTTCTTGGTCAAAATTAATTAATGTGTTTGAGCTGAGTTATTGATTTTTTTTTTCAACAGGGACTGATCTCTACTATAAATGAGATTGACCGTGAAATAAGAGGTTTCTATACGATAACTGTACTTGCCAATGACGGTGGTACTGAGAAAGGATCCACAACAGTAAGTCAATGATTGTAATACAATGTAGTAGGAATATGAACTTGACAATACTTGACAACATTACTACATATCATACTAATATGGATTACAAACTTGTGGCTATTGATCCACAGAATAAAAATTGAATTTTTGAACTATGACAAATTTATGAAAACTTAAATTGAATGCATAAAACTACACTTACTTTGAACAGTGTTTATTTGCGCATACAGAAATAGATCTATTAAATACTTTGTCAAAATATCAATGCAAAAATCAATATGGTTACATCAGAAAATTTTTAAACAATAACTGTAAAATTTATTTATTAAAATCCAGATAGAAAAAAATGATTCATGAGATTCATATATAGAAAAAAGTGTAGTGATACTAAAAAAATGCATGGCAATAGGGCATTCGATTAGTTTTATGCTTGAAAAAAATTACATCATCCACAATTCATCAAACAGTAATAGAGATGCATAATTTTGTTTCACATTGCAGGTTTGGATAACTGTTTTAGACAAGAATGACAATGCACCCAGTCTTTGACGTCTTCTCTGACATCAGCGTATCGGTTAAAGAAGAGATGTACACTCCTGTTGGCTCTATGATTGGTCGAGTTAAGGCAACAGACAGAGATGAAGGCATTAATGCCATGGTCAGTAACAATCATCATGATTTATTAATAATAATAATAATATTAAATTAATAACTAAGCTAGAAATGAATTCGTTTAGCTGTCTAGGTATTGTTTACATGTGCATATTCAGCTGTCTAGGTATTGTATATGCATGCTTATGCCCCATATGTGTCAATTTGGTATCAATATTAATTAAGGAAATTTTGGATCAGTATCTTATGCATTAATAAATATGATAAAATGCAGTCTTGGGTATGTTTTAACACTGTTTTGTTAATAGTTAATGGAGTTGGGAGGGCACCCAAATTTGATAAAATTGTGTGAGTATATTTTTTGAAAGGCTCAAAAGTAAACTGGTTGAGCCACACATAAATACCCTATGTTAACTCATTTGGTTCAACAATAATGATCATTTTGTTGTTGTAGTTGATGGTTTAAAAATTATGTCAAATACATACAGTCCATGATCTGATAGTATGTATAAATACATATATTCATCTTTATATCAGATGAATCACTGTTAATATGAGAACTTTAACTGTTTGAGCCAAGTCAATTTGAAGCACCATCCACAAAATAGTTTCATTTATAGTCTTTTCCATATAAAACGTTGCGAAAATTTTTAAATTTGTTGACCAATAACTGAAGCATCGTCACATTTTGTATGTTTGTTCCAAAATTAAGATTGAATTTAGTGAAAACTAAAGAAAATGTGAACAAATTTGAGGAAAAATAAAATTTGCAGTGACAAGGCTTAACAACACTTGTGTTTTTTTTAATGTACTTTACTTGATTAATGATACATAGGGCTGACTCTCTGTAGAAAAGTCGCTAACTTGCCAAGTATGGGATGGAATACGTTACTCTGTCTTGTTACTTTGTTGGCAACTTTTAAATCTGTATGTACCGTGATGTGAACCTGTTATAATAATCATGCTTTGCTTTATGGGTATTATTTTTAGGTGAATTATGAAATTATAGATGGAGATGTTAACAATATGTTTAATATTACTACAAATACGGTTAATGAAGGCATTATAAAGAATATCCAACTGTTGGACAGAGAAGTCAAAGATACATACCGACTTATTGTAAGTAAATCAAATTCCTGCTGTCTGTAAGCTGGACGATTCATTGTACCATTTTTGTGTTTAGATTCATGTACAAAAATGTACTAAATCTTATTTATCCGCTAATTATGAATCATAATTAATGATTATGAATTAATTGACATAGCGAATTCTATCTTAGTACTGATCTATTAGTGATATTATTTCTGAACTATTGATTGATTCAGTGAATTTACTGTAACATTTACAATATATTATTTGTTCATAGGTGTCTGCTTATGACAGCGGTGACGTACCACTGAACACCAGTATGATAGTTACTATTAATATAGAAGACGTCAACGATAACATTCCTGTATTCAACATGTCCTATAGCACATAGTTACTCTTTACGAGGTTTGTTTTCATTTAAAGTACCCCTCCAGTAGTTCATCCTCTTCATTTATCTCAAACATATGTTTGCCGTGTTGATTTATTTATTAACAAATAAATTAAAATTGTTGTCCTTGTGAATATCAAAGCATAATTCGTGCAATGTTCAAACCATAACTACTTTAATATATGATTAATAGTTTCTATTTGAAGTCACTGCTGTTTTATTTATGACCAACACAAAGCAATGTTTAATGCAGTACAATTCAATACAAACATGTGAAAAAGAAATGTTTAGCACCTTGTACGTGATACACTGATTTCAGGTTACCCATAGATTAATTTATACGTTTTCAAAGAAC